GCTCGGAAACGCGTGCGTGCGCTTGACACAGCGATTGACCGATAAGCGGAATAATTTTAGGACCTGGTATCTTCGATCCGTCAGCTCGCCCGAAACCAAGAACAACAGGATACTTATAGTCGTCGCGTTCAAGTTTAGACGGTCAACGTTGCGGAAACCTACGCTCCCAAACGATGGCGTTAACGTTTAATGCTTTTCGATAGTCAAAGCGAAGCATAACTATTTATTTCTGAAATTTGGATAGCGAGCAGGGGTTGTAGAAAAGAGCAACATAAACAACGGATTTAGCAGATAATTAAAGTCGCGGTTAATTTCTTTTTTTCACAACGATCAAAGAAAAGCACAATTATTTATTTCCGAAAGTCTGATAGCAAGAGTTGGTAGAAGAGAGCAACATCGATGTATTTTCCCCCCGATTTGCTCGCTGCAAATTATATTTTTAGGATGGTAAACAATAGGATTTAGCGGATAAATAAAGCCGGAGTGATCGATGAAATTTGAATAAACCTCGAAGGTTCTCACATTTCCTTTTCGATCGGCAGGCGGATCACGCCCGTACAGTTAGACTCGCAGATAAATCACGGATCGATCTCGCGATGCGTCACGGATCGCGAGAGTCTCGTTCGTTTGTTCGTCGAAGAAGGCGGCACCGGGTGCCTTGCGAGGAAGTTGTAAAATCGCGTTACGAAGAAGAAACGTAAAGGCCCGCTCGCGCCAATTGATATGCCCCTGATGAACCGCCGTACGAGACATTCCGCTGCCACGTTGCAACGAGCCCCGCGTCTCGGTTCCCGTAGGCTCTCGATCGTCTGAATTAGAATCTCCTGATTCCCAGAACAACGAACATTTTGGCTACGATACCTCTCAGCAAACAACAACCTTCAACATCGGTGCAAACTATCTCGAATCTCTTCTCGAACATAACCTAGACCTACAACCTAGTTAGAATTCATCGCCATATGTCGATTCCTCCTCTAAAAATGAGTCGAAAACATTCTGCAACATTTTTTCCTACATGGCTTTGTTCTCGAGATAATTGGAATTGATCAGTATGCGGGGTTTGGGAGCGTTTGTGGTGCACCAATTTCACATGGCGAGTTCGCGCTCGAATATTCTGCCTTTTGATTAGAACACGCGTCCAGTATTTCTGTTTGGAGAACTAGCTTCAGCTTCATAAATACTATTATTGTATTTTATGCAAAAACATGATTACTTTATCCATATAGGCTAACTTAATTAACCTCAACTTAGCATTGAATCTTCGACTCCTCTGTCAGGTGGTCCTACAGTAAGGAGCATAACTGAACCAATAACCACAAGTTTTGTTTAAATCATTATTTATTGCTAAGAATATAAGAGAATATTAAAAAATAAAAGTTATAGTTATTTTTATTACAGTTAGAAGTAACATAAGAAATTTGTTTAGACTGATTTTTCGACTGATTGTGAGCAATTGAGTGCTAAGATGCAGAATAGCATATTGTAATCATTTTAAACTGCTAGATGCAAACATATTGCTAAGACAATTCTATGTGAATTACTGATAAAGTTTCTCATGTTACCTTTAACTGTGATAAAGATAACTATAACGTTTGTATTTTTAATATCCTCCTATATCGTCAGCAGTAAATAGTAATCTATAAAAAACTTGCGATTACTGTTTCAACTGTGCTCCTTACTGTAATTTAAATCTAGTCCAAGGCAAATACAGATTCGATCCAACGATTCTATCCAAGGACGAGCCCAGCTACAGTAGGTACTTGCAAACGATACCCACCCAACCTTAACCAAAGTACAAACGTATGCATTCGCAAGAATTCCCCGAATCGATCGGAGATTCAAGGATCAGCGCTAAGAATCAACCATTCGGTCACACGTACGTTCAGCTATTATACACACATCGAAACACAACTCGATGAAATATAACGTTGGACTTTCTCCGTCGCATACCTATGTAGGCTAACGACAGACCGACTTAACGAACTATGGCGTTGAACCTAACTTCTCCGTACGTATCTTTGGTTCGAACCTAATCTACATGTATCCGAAAGCCGATGCACAGTCTCAGCGCCTAACCGGTAGCTCTAACGGTCAACTAGAAGGCCGTAGTTTGCATCGACGCTTTCGGTTGTCCGAGGATTCCGCGAAACCGATTGTGATTCAAGGATCGGCGGGAAATTTCGAACGATACGCGGTTCGTCTCCAATCTTTCATTCATTGACCCCACCAGGCGGGTTCGCGCCGCGATCCGGGCCGATTTCGTATGCGATCGGTGTGCGGTTGCATCGTGTGTGACCACATCAATCTGCATTCGAATCTCTCGAACAGCCCCTCCGCGTCTCCTCCTCTCCGTTTCACCAGGTTCTCGTTCCACTGTTCCTCTCCAGGACACTGTCTCTCCCTCTGGTTCGTTGCCTTTCCGTCAGATCCTCTCCCTTTTGTTTGCACCTCGCGCAGTTTCGGACACCAGCGCGGACTTAACCGGCTACTCGGTTCCTATTAAAGCCGTTCGTATTGTATTCAAATCGGTTCCGAGCTTTCGTATCTGGCTACTTCGCTTCTTGCCTCTTGCGTGCTGCGCCTCTTGCGAATGCGCTCCACTCATTAAGGTTCATCCGTCGATTCGTTGAAATACTGCGTTTTCGCGTGACGACTTGGGCTCTCCGTTGTCTCGTCGCGCTCGGTCCCGACGACCTTCGACCCCTCGACGCAAACGTTTCTCGCATCGATGCAGAAAGGAAAGCAGGAGGAAGTTCTGCCGGGCGTGTACGCAGTTGACGCGCGTTTAATAATCCTTTGTTTATTCATGGGCCGCCGCACTGTCCGTGATTCACGTTGCATCTCCGCGATCCAACCTGAATGTTAAATCATGCTTCAAACCCCGGTAGGCCGATGTATTGGGTTGCGATCGCGTGTTGGTACAGCGATGACCCGGTTAGAGGTCTTCTCGAAGACGTCGTCGACTAATTGTAACGTTAAGTCCGACGCCTCTTTGTCGGATAGATTTAATCTCCGTTACATGTGTAGAGTATTAACCGACTCGAACCTGCGGGCAAAATCACTAATACCTAATCATCGAGGAATAAGAAAGGATGTCGTTAGGTGTATCCTACGGGTTACATATGTACGTAAGCTATTGACGCCCTAAGATCGTCAAACTTAACGAAACGTAACGCCAGGTCTAATCTACCTGTTACATATTCATACGGACTATCGACCTATAAACAACAGCGACGAAGTGTAACGTGGGGGTCTAATCTCTCCGGTGGTTTAGGATAGATGGGGTTTCAGATAGTAGGGATATTGGAAGGACTATCGAACGCGTAGGTTTCGATAGTCCGGGCATAGCTAACAGGCCATTAGTTGAACAGGTTTTGGTTCCCTTTCCTTTTTAAAACGTAACCTTAAGGTTCCGTTCGCGGAGCGAGACTTTTTCAGCCAGCTCTGTGTCCAGGACCAATTATGCGGCTGATGTATACGTGTGCACGGATGCGCGTTCGCCGCGTGCAATACTTAAGTACGAAATAACTAGGTATGCAAGTGTGGTGTGCTGCACCGTGGGGGGGAAGGGGACGGGGGGTTGGAAGGGAAATGCGACGAGAAGGAGGTGGGAGGAGGTGGAGGCGCGCTTTGTAGTTGCCGCGACGTGACGCAACTGCCAACTTAAGGAAAAGGTTCCTGGTATTGCGGGATACGCGAACGAGCCGCTGGAGGTGGCGGCGGAGGCATCATCCTCCCTCGTCCTCCTCCCCAGCCCCCCAGGCGCTGTTCCTTTCTTTCTCGTCCTCTTCCTCTGCCCGCTGCCACCAAAGCCAACGTCCAGACGGTCAACGACACTTTTCGGAATTACGCAATTGGCCGAGTTTGCCGAATCACTCGACCCCCCCAAACTACGTTCCGACTCTTCACCAGCAACGAACAAAAGAATTTACGCTGTTCCCGCGTCGACCTTTCATGCGACGAAGATGCAAAATTGACCTAGGTTCCAGTTAGATTTGAGATAGATTCATCCCCAGTTTGCACTAATTTGATTTATATTGACTTCTGTTTGTACAAACTAACTTATGTTTCATCCAAAGATGTAAAATTGACCTAGGTTTAAATTAAATTCGAGCAAGATCCGTCCTTAGTTTGATTGCTCTAGTTTGATTTGTATTGGGTTGTGTTTGAATAAAAACTAGGTTAATTTGTACAAAGAAATGAAATTGATCTACATAGGTCTGAGTTAAATCCAAACTAGATCCATCCCCAGTTTGCACTAATCGTTTTGAATAAAAACTAGCTCAGTTTGGACTCGTCTACGCTCCAAATTCAACCAAAGTATCCAATTCTACTTGCATCGCGAGTAATTGTGCAGAAACCTTGTACTCGACGCGTTGAAATTATTTTTATTATAAAAATTCCTGTCCTATGCTTCGAATAAATTCGTCTTATATTTAGCAAGAACGAGCGAGCGTTGTCGGGGGGGAATTGCGACGGTGACGCAGTGGCTCGAAAATTGTCGATTCGTTAATTGTGCCGGACTCTCGGAGACTACCAGGAATCTGAGGGATTCGTTAATTGCGCTCCGTCTGGAAGCCAGACGAAAGTTGCCGTGTATTTGTTGCTCGTGGGAGAAAAACTCGCCGTCTGGAAAAGTCTCGGATTCCGGCAGGGGTTTGCGTTCTTTGCCTGTAAAATGCATTTACATACAAATTGGCAACTGGTGCGTGGTGTAAACCTAGTAATTACACCTTAAGTGGCAATTAACCGACGCTAGACGCGCGATGGGAATCGGCCGGTTTGTTACTTTGGATACTCTCTTTATTAGATGGGATCTTAACCTATTTAAATATGATTTATCGCCCTTCGTCTTTGTTGACCTACTCGCTGCATTTTGTTAACAAAGTTACCGAAGCGTTCTTCCGTGCCCCATGTTTCCCCTATAGTTGTTCATTCCGTTATGCCTCGCGTTAGATGTACTGTTCAACTCAACGAATTGTTGGCTACGACTCTTGCAGGTGAACCGGCCGCTGACCATGAAGAAGGAGGGCATTCAGACGAGGAACAGGAAGCTCTCGTCGAAGAGCAAGAAGAAGAAGGCCGGAGGCTGCTTAGGCCTCGGCGGTGTTATGGGCGATATGATCAAGGCCAGTGGTCATCTCGATCTCGATAACAAGCCCTTCCATTCTGGATTCGGATCACCAATGGGTAAGCGTAATATCCCTTCTACGTTATTATCTCTTAACCCTTCTCGCTCATCTTTATCGCAAAATTTTTCCAATCAGTCGATAGCCCCCTGATCATAACTCTCCCAGGTTAGAATCCCTCGAGAGTTCTCTCAGGAAATGGGAACATTTATAACCCAGTTAGTTTTTAATCGGACTAAAAATTGTTTCCAACGTAGGAAATTAAAGGCAAAGGGTGATTGTTGGTTCCAGGTACGTCGCAGCATCATCACACGATGCATCCGGCGATGCAGCATTACATGTATCACACGGGTGTCGGCGTGGCCGGAGGTCTTCATCAAGGATTTGCACCACCGGCGCCTCCCCCCATCCACCCGCACTCGCATTCGCATTCCCATTCCCATCACATGACGAGTCTTCAGGGTCTCCAACTGGCCGCCACGACGAATGCAATGGTGAGTACACGTTCCATCCTGTTTTACCCTTTAACCGATAAGCCGTCTTTTGGTTCGACGCGAAACCACGAACGACCGTGGCAACGGATCTGCGAATAATGGCGATCGCGTCCTACGACGTTCTTTCGCTTTTTATTCTCGCTCGAGTTTGCTAATTCCACCGTCGAGTACTGTGCACGGCTGAAAAAACGACTAGGGGGCGGTAACAAGGCGGTGGCGCCCTCTGGCGTCTCGTCCAATAGCAAACGACCACCGAGGCATGGCTAAATATCGCTCCACCCACTCGTCGTCTTTCCAGCCGTGCACAGTACACCGCGAATTCCAAGCACACTCACACGAACGCGCTGAGTCGCGCCATAACCGCGAACGACCTTGACAAGGTCAAGATCAGAACAGTTTCGATTCGGAGACCCGGTGAACTCCGAATACGATTCTTCGGCCACTGATCGGAGTTGGATTTCGGATGACGAAGGGATCGACACAATCTTTGGCATTCTTTCGTTAGTCGTATAGTAGTAGCGTAGTAATCGATCGACCGGCGAGGAAATGTTCAATCCATCCGCAAGCAGACTCCTGTTCCAAGAAGACCAGAGACACGACAAGACTGTTCCCCAACCTTAATCCATCGAACGAAGGAAAGTGTCCCGCGAACATTTCCTCGCAAGAAGCACCCGAACATGTATCGAGGTTCGAACGGCGAGAAAAACAAATGGATGTTCTTTGTCTGGTTTCAGACCGGTTGGCGATCGGAGTACACATGAATCGCGAGTGATCAGCAGCTCAGGACGCAGCCCACCACTCTCGTTCTAACGTAATGAAGTCAAGCTCCTCCCTTTCTCTCCCCGCGCGAAACGAGAGACGTTCGAGGGCAGGAAGTCGAACAAAAAAAAAAAAGAAAAAAGAAAAAAGAAATTACGATTCTCCGTTCTGTCTTTAATTCTCTACCCACTTTCTTCCCCCTTCTCATCTCCTGGTTCTTGCGGTCTCGCGTCGCTGTAAATATGTAAAGTTTTATCGTAGGGCCATCGAGCCCAGGCCCCAAGTACAAACGAAGTCAGCTAACTTGTATCGAGTCTTATTATACGCGGTGTACATAAAAACACTATAATGGTAAAATGCAAGAATTTATATGCCACGTGCGTGGATGCGTGGTCGAGACGCGAGGGAGGGGGCGCGCGGGAGGCGTCCGTCCCTCGACCCCCGATTTTCGTCGCGAAATACCCTCGTTTTGTTTCATTTTTCCCCCCGATCGAGGGGGAGGCCTCGAAGACGATTCTTTCAGGGCGACATTTCGCGAAATTTCGAATCGACCACCCCGGAAACGGTGCCCTCCGAGGTTAGGGGGCGCGGGTGGGAGGGGAGGAACTCAGAAACGATCGTTTACCGGGCTAGGGAATCGAAAGCCTGGAAGGTTTGTAAATTGTATATGATTTTTAAAATCGAAGTTGAACTTTGGAACACAAAAGGGTATGAAACCCTCGCCATTCGGAATCGATCTTCGGAGGCCAGCGAACGTCGTAGCGTTTAAGTGTGTATTTGACGAGAATCGAGAGACATCGTGCAATTTTAAAAATCTTTTTATTAACGAGAATTTATAATTCCGCCCGCGGTCGATTGGACGCCGATCGGTTCCCTTTTTAAGTTTCGCGTCGCGTCGTACGAAACGACGATAGCGTTTTAATTTTATACCGGAAAGGATCTTACGGCAAGATTCTCGTCGCGACGGTAAATATCAAAATCGAGGGAAAACTGTCGACGTCCAATCGTCCATCGGGATCGTGTGTCGTACCGGTTAGCGATAGCAATGCAAGCAAGCAAGAAAAATAAAAAAATAACTGCAAAGTAATCGTAAAACCACGTAGAGTAAATCTGTAAATTATATGGAATTTCCGGTGATCCAGATCGAGAGTCGATCGTCCTGTCAAGGAATATAAAGAAAAAGAAAATATTGGATAAAGACGATTCTTCGAAGAGAAAGATGGGTAAAACGAAATAGAGAGTATAAACCAAAAAGAAACTATATTCACCGCGGAACGAAGAAAATGACAGGGACGGACATGACGAGAAGGAACAAGCCAGAAATGTGACAGAAAAAAAAAACCATAAACAGAAAATAAAAAAAAGTGAAGAACACGTTGTAAATTTTGTATCTTCGAGATTGTGTACCGTTATTGTAATGATAGTATATAAATATATAAATAAACAAATCGAAATATATATATATATACAAATGAATATAAATATATATATATATATAAATATTATAAATATTATAAATATAATGATAACGCCGTGAACGCGCGGCTGGCAAAGGCGTTAAGAGAGAGAGGAGTGAAAAAGTGATTGTGCATAAATTAGCGGTTAATTGCGCATCGTAAGATTTGCATCTAGATAGTCAAGCGATGGTAATTAAAACGATTTATCGCGAGCGAAAAGGTTAATAGCCGTAAATGACGATTATCGTTATTATTCTTATTACACACTATTATCGTCGTCGCCGATCGGCCGATCGCCGATTTCCATTCATTAATCGTTCTAATTAATTAATTAATCGCGTAGGACTCGGCCGCGATCGTTGACCACGAGTCGAGACCACATTGTGATCCTTTCTTTTTGTCGATCGTTAGAACGTTTTAAGGAACCGCCGTGCGTCGCGTGCTTTAGCGCGAATTCGAACGAAAGTACTGTGCTCGCGAACCGATACGATCGGGAGCTGCAACCCCCCGCGTTTCTTCTCTCGATCTTCTGCTTCGAAAACTGTCGCGACAAAATGGCGTTTCGGGTTGGAAAATTTTGGTGAAAGGAGATATAAAGCTCGAGAATTACAAATTTTAACATAATATAAGTTTAATGTCCATCCGTGGTAGCAAAAAAAGTGATGTGTCGACCAATTTGTCAGGAAATTGAAAATCTTTGAAGCTAAAAATAGATTTCTTTCGCGATTACTCGAATAATAAGATGTTCGATGAAGAAGATGGAGGATCCAGGGCGACGGGGTTGTCCCTCGATCGATCGTCTAGCCAATAGCGAGTTTCCTGCGATAGGGGTGATGAGAGGGGGTCAGTGACATCGTGATTTTCGAACAAAACAAAGACTGAAAAGCAAAATGGGAACGGGAACGACGGACCGCGAGTGAAATCCTCGATGCACCAACCCCCCTTTTTCGCGATCGGAAAATGTTGGGACGAAGGGAGGAAACGGATGTGAGACCTTGGAGGAAGGGGGGGGGGAGGTTATTCTAATAATAGTATTACTAGGGAGTAGCGTGTAGACTGTATAAAAACACGAGAAACACATACGCGTGCGAACACAACGCGTACACTCACAACACATTTACACGGAGACACGTACATATAATGATTTTTAAGGGCGTAAAAAAGGCATGGAGGCGGCCGGGATGCGAAAGAGATCGAAATATCGAGGGATCGAACGTCGTGGCGATATTATTTCGAATGTAAAAAGCGACATTGTAAAATATCATTGTAAAAAAGGTTTTAACTTAAAATAAATTAAATGATAATTCACGCATACTAAGGGCCTTGCTGCATTTTCCTAGATTCGTTTTCGACGGAATTTCGTTAATTCGGACGACAACGTTTTAGAAATGCTTGGCGTCGTTCTCGTCGAAAGCTTATTCGGATAACGGAGGATCGAAGTGGCCAAGGGTCGTCGATTTCACGGGAAGATCGGGAAGATTTTTCGACCCGCGAATGGAATTCGTGGATTCTTATCGCGGGATTCTCGACTTTTTCGTCGGCCGGCCGGTGCAATTAAGAATAACTTTCAATCGGATGATCGACGATCGGGATGGCGACCGTTGAGCCGCGGCCTCTTATTAATTAACAGGCGCGACTTAATTAAGCCTTATCGTACGGCACGAGGTGTTTACATGTAAATCAAAGGCAGACGCGGGAGATAACGTTGCGGCGTACGCGAAAGCAAATAAATTCCGTCGCGGCGGCAGATAGCTATCGATATCCGGAGGAGACGGCGGGAAATAAGGAGCTTCCGAACGCGGAATCGCCGTGCAAACAGGCCCGCAGGCTATAGAACGATGAGAACGAGGGAAGTCGTGACGGTAACCAGAGGCTAGGTTCAACGATAGATACGAGTTAGGTCTGCCTAGGACCGGTTAACCCTTTCGTTTCTGCCGTGTTAAATTTACCGCGTCGATGTTCGCGTGTTTCGAAACGCGTTCCATAGCAATTTCGCCCAATTGATTCGCGTCTTTTTGATTTAAGGCGGTATTCTAGTCTAGAGGCCATTTCGGATTTTTCTTTTAAAGAAGATATTATTGTACTGGGATTCATGGCATAGTTTTTACTTATATTTAAGGATTACACGCTATTTTTTTCGTGAAAATATTTTAAAAGTGGTCGACGATATGGCTGTTTTAGTAGAGCTCCTTCTTTGAAAGCGTTTTTCTCGAAACTATGCTTTCCGAAACGGTGTCCACGATAGAACAAAACCCTAATTCAGTAGAAGTGACAGCGTTTGATGTTTAGATGAGTTTTGTTACGTACCTCTGTAAAACAACTATGCTTTTGCTTGTTTATAGGCATCCAAACCTTATTATTATTGGCATATTTTTACGCACTTTTACCAAATAATGGATAATAATAGTTATAACGGACTATAGTTCCTACCAAAATCAATTCCAAATTTTTATATCTTATATTTTTTTAAGTCCCTGGAGTTAAAAAGAATCGTAAAAAAATCGTTAGTCTAACTTCAAATTATCGACTTTTCTCTTTTACTATCGCCTATAGCAAAATTCATACCAATTAAGAATCTTTTCCGATTTTTGGTTTCAAACAAATAGAATGGCTGGAATTATGGACACCGTGAGACGACCATTTTTAACTTCTTTTCGTGTAAAAAATTTTGAAATATCACTGAAATATGTATAAATTAACCTTGTAAATTTGACTGTAAAAGAAAAAGAAAGCCTAGAAAAACGCGCTTTACGCTAGAAGGAGCCCTTAAACCCTTGCAAGACTCGAGACATTAGGTCAACGAATTAATTTTCGACCTCCTTACGGTAACCTTACTGTATATTTATGAACAGTAAACTTAGATTTTAAGTATAAAATTAATCTACATCGGGATCTATATTGTTTGTAATTTATTATACGGTAAAGACAATATGATAATTTTTTTCAGTTACAGGTGGATGAGCCTGAGGACTGGATCAATCGCGGAAGTTGGTGGCACCGACAGCCCTCCGCGTACGCAAATTAAACCGAATTGTTGAAAACATTATTATTTAATGAAAAGATGCAACTATTATTTATTGTACAGTGTATAGAAAAATTTCTGAAAGATATAATAAACGAAGATATTGAGGAAGAGTGACCTTGATTTCGCTATGAAAACTGTTTTCGAAATTTTTATTACTATCATCTGTCGTACGCCCGATACTAATAAATATTTGCCAGATTCGAACAGGTTTGGAACGTCCAGTTAATTTTCTTTCTAACAGATTTGCAACTTCTAAAGCAATTGTCAATTTTCCCTTCTTCTCACAAAATAGTAATTTGTATCGCTGTCAAAAACGCGTAGTAAAATAATATTATTCTTTGTGTTTTTAGATCATTCTCAAGAGACTACCATTTTCAAACGAGTCAATTTTGCATTGATCCATCTGTAACACACTGACTATCATCCATAGATTATTAATTCTCAAAATTAGATGTTAAAGATAATAAATCTGAGGACTCTTGAGGCTGTAAAAACAAATTCAATGCCAAATTGTTGTTTACAATTGTCTAAGAACAAAGTACCGCTTTCGTGGACAATTTCACTGATTTGGTCTGCCAAACATCTCGTTGAATCGTCGTATTTTTTAAATATACGCAAAGGGGTTTTCGTTCCAAATAAAACTGAAGATTTATTAACAATATAAGAACGTTATTAAGCCCTAGTCGCGTGATTTTCGCGGAAGCGCGCTGGGAAACCGTCTTATTTGGCAAGGGGGGCGAGCAATGGGGCTCGTTTCACGGCGAATTAGATTCGGATAGGTTTCGAGAGCAGAAGAGGCGAGGTTAAACTTTAAGTCGCGGCAGCTGGCTAGGAAATGGCTCCTCGGGAATCGGGGACTTGACCTCGCGAGGCTCGAGGAGGGTGCACAGGACGGAGCAATCGAAAGGAAGAGCCTCGCGGATAATCGTGTCCCGTGGGGAAGATGTATGTTTCTAATAAAAGTGACCCGGGATTTCGCGTAATCCCGGGACAGGGCCTCTCTCCGCGTCGCTCGGAGTCAACAAGCTTTTCGATTTCACCTTTCTGCGGTTCGCCGCAGCTGCTTAGGACC